GGATCCCATTGGCTTTCTTGGCAGCCAGGGCACACTGCTGGCTCATGGTTAACCTGTCGTCCACCAGGACACCCAGGTCCCTCTCCGCAGAGCTGCTCTCCAGCAGGTCCAGCCCCAGCCTGTACTGGTGCATGGGGTTGTTCCTCCCCAGGTGCAGGACCCTGCACTTGCCCTTGTTGAACCTCATCAGGTTCCTCTCTGCCCAACTTTCCAGCCTATCCAGGTCTCACTGAATGGCAGCACAGCCTGCTGGTGTATCCACCACTCCTCCCAGTTTTGTGTCATCAGCAAACTTGCTGAGGGTACATTCTAACTCTTCATCCAGGTCATTGATGAAGAAGTTAAACAAGGCTGGGCCCAGTACTGACCCCTGAGGGACACCACTTGTCACCAGCCTCCAACTAGACTCAGCGCCGCTGATGACAACCCTCTGAGCTCTGCCATTCAGCCGGTTCTCAATCCACCTCACCGACCACTCGTCCAGCCCACACTTCCTGAGCTTCCCTAGGAGGATGTCTTGAAAGCATCCTCAGTGGGATAAGAGAGCAAGACACAACACTACGTAAAGGATATTACACAATGTGCAATCAAAGTGAAAAATTCCTCCATCATTTTTTTTCCTCATTTTGTTTCAAAGCATTGTTACCCTGATATTTAGGTGCAAAAGAGATCAAATAACGACGGAATACCAGGCAGTACGACCAACAATATGCTGCAACATATTTCTTTTTCTTCTGGCTGGTAACTTTCTTCTCTGGCATACGACACATTTGCAGTGGAAGGAATTTTTATCGATTTTACTGTCGACCTGTGCAGGGAGGGAAAGCGCCAGTGTGGTTTTAAACCCCAGATCAGCAGCGAGCAGCTTGCAGTACGGGATATTCCGCTGGGAGCTAGGAATTCATCAAAGCTCAGACATCGCAAAGCTACCCAAAGCTGCAGGTTTCAGAGTTTTATGAAATTTTACTACATTTTGCAGCTGCTCTGGACATCAGTGGGCAGTTCCTAAGCAGCCACTGATGATCTTTTTTGGTTGTGAAACACTGGAACGGGTTGCCCAGAGAGGTAGTGGTCTATGATTCTATGATTCTATGATCTTCTTGTATTATTACAGTTTTCTGGATGTACAGAAGAGAACAGCAGCTGGTTTACAAAAGCCTTTACGCAAGTGGGACACAGAATTTAGTTGCAGCATACAGGTTTTCCCTGCTGCCAGGAATTTGATGGATTTTGAATAAGGTTTTACTGAGCCCAGCAAGCAGTGCCCATCCGAAGGGTGCCTCGGTAGCAGATGGCGTCTCCCGTTACCCTGCCGTGTATTCACCTGTCTGTCCTTGCACGTCCAGCTCTTTTATAGAGAATCTGTGGCAGAAAAGCAAAACTATCCACGGAAATGACTGAAAGAAGCAAAACAGTATGTTTTTTGTGATGGTGAGACGCTCCAATTCAAAACACTTGTACATTCATGTTATGCAAAAGAAGATTTTTCATGACAAAAGAATTTGAATGATATGCAGTGCAAAGAAAAGTAGCTTCAAGTGAATTTATTTTGAAATAAACATTATATGCCTGTATTCATATTTATATTAAATAACTTATTATTAAATAACAGAAAAAAATAGTCTTAAAAACTAATCTGACACTTTCACATTCTATTTTATATTCAGTGACTACAGTTAGGAAATATACAGAAAATTGATAAAATTGCCTCAAGCCAGCCATAAAAGCAAAGTGCACTATTGCCTAGGGCAGTGGAGGAGCAAAACAATGACGGTGCTGCTGCTGCTTCCTCCGCGGGGAGGGTCACTGTGCGTGGCCGTGGTCACTGGGCTGGAAGGAGGGGAACCCCTTCCGTAACTCCCTTGTCCTTCCTTCCCATCTTTTGCCCTTCAGCGCCGAAGCAGCCAACTGAGGTTTGCACGTGCTGACAAGAAGCAGTGGGACAGTCCTGCCTACCAAGACGATGCATTGCATCCAATTAATTCCCTCACCGATCGCGCTGGGATTGCAGCTTGCCCATCTTCTGCTGTGTCTTCGTTTGATTTGTTTCTTGTTGGTGGTAGTTGAAGGACGCCAAGGTGGAAATCTGGTCAGTATTTATCATGAGATATTAACTAAAGTAGCAGCCTTCAAAAGCTTTCTGAACTGGCTTTTTCTCAGATAAAAGCCACAGCTAACACATTTTTTTCCTAAGAGTCCCAGAGTGGAATTTCTTTAAAAGCGTCTTCATTTTGTTTTGACTTTTTTGCAAAGATAAATCTTATTACAAATTAAATATTTCTAAACTTAGGTGTACCTACGCAGGTGCTACACATCTTTTCTATTCATGTATGATGTAAGATGGTATCTGAGCAACACGTGCACTAAATATAATTTTGAGAAGTTTCCTTACAGGTGTTTGGAATAATAAAAGATTTAAAACCATTATTTTGGTTCTATTTTAATTGTCCACCAAATATTTGCCTTTCCGATAACAATTTATTGACATCAGTTTTAGTGTGTGTCTGTATTCAGCTAGAAATATTTCAAGGCACAGATTTTTCCTACATAGATACAGACTTATTTAACGTCCAGCGAAGCTCTTTAAGAAGGATAAAAGAAATACGTGTTCGTGTTTGTCTGGGTTTAATTCACACCATCCTGAAATGAGGTGAGGAAAACCACTGCTGCTGAATAGCAAAGCAAAAATTTAGAGCATATGAACCCCAAATGTAACAGCATCCTCACCACTGTTTCAGGAACATCGAAACCTACGGGGCATGAAAGGGCACAGTGGCTACTGACGAGCAGCCTGCCTACTGGCTACTACTACAAGGCTCCATAACCTTGTTAAGGACTACTTGATGTGTAACATTTGACACGTAATATTCAAAGAATATTACTTAGTGAGTGTTGCTCTGTACTGCTGCACGCATTCACCTTCTGGTTTGACACAAACGCAAGTCATTTATCTGTTCTTCAGATACTGCATGCCGGAGCAGCAAATTAAACAGCTGTAATTTCTACTCAGTGCCACATCTTACTTCATAGAAAAGTGCGCTATTCACAAGAAACACATGAATTTTTACTCTACCACAAATATATCAGTGAATTCATATGTATAGCAATAAAATTTGTAATAAATATTACAAGTGTGTGTTACTTAATGTGAATTTGAAGATTTTGACTTTTCTTCGTACTGCTTGTAAGAAATCTTAAAATACGTACTATCTTTTTAAAAGAAGAAATTAATAAGCATAACAGTAAGACTTGGAGAATCTGAACATTACAGTCCATACAGTACCATTCCTAGGTAAATACCTACCATTCACATTATAACCATAACAGCTTTACTCTTTTTAAAGTAACAGCTTTGTTAGCTATGAATTTAATTTGTACATTCAACTTATGCTACATCGTGTATTCTCATTCCCAATTTAGCATAAACTTTTAATAGTGCTCTTCTGAAAGCAAATTCACAGTCCAAGCTGATGTGCGGCAGTTTCTCTTCACTGCCAAAATGTTTGCCTACCCAGGTGTAAAACTTATTTTTGTTTTCTTTTAAATGACAAACATATCTCAAAATAATAAAAAATAATATTCAAAAGGTATTCTTAAAAAAAAAAGACTTCTGCCAATCAGGTGACAGTTTGTCGTTTGAATAAAATACATACTTAAAAGAGGTTGTAAAAGTTGATGATCACTACGTTAAGTGGAAAAGAAGTCTGCTGCAGCTGGAAGATTCACAGTTCACCTGGGTTAGTTTGCTCTTCAATGAGGATTCATAGGAATAAATAGTTCTAGCCAGGGCAGATAATCCTTCTTTCTTCCTTTATCTCAGCATATCTCGTCTCCGAAATTGCTTCCACAGATCTCGGAGATGTTCACTGGTTACAGTCATCACGCAAGAGTAATACTCCTTCCACCCATGCTTTGGGGTCTCCTGGGGAAAGTGAAAACACACAATCGGAAAAAGGTATCGTTCACTGAATTCCTTCATACTGCATTAACTTCTACTCAGACTCATACACACTAGATGTATGTTTTAATATTAAAAACATGAAAGATCAAATACTTCTATGGCTCAGAAGTACTTCTGTAAAATGAGGGTTGTAAATCCAGACACAGGTTAACTATTCAAAAGGCACCCTCACCTCGCAGCACACGGTTAGCGCTCAACAAACAGCCTTTGCAGGTCAAAAGCTGTAAGAAAGGATCTCCCCTTTATGCAGGTACGTCCTGCTCTGTCTCTAGTTTTGTTTCTTGCTTATTCATGCCGACGCTGTACTAAAAAAATTCACCTCTAATGCCAAATAAAAAGCACAGAGGACTACTGATCTTCATGAAACCGAGGCATTAGCAAAAGCAAAATACAAAATGGGCAGGTGATAGAAAGCTTCTTCACACTAGGTTACCTTCATCCTGCACTGCACTGTAGCTCACTGACGCTAATGAGCGCCCGCTGAACGGAGAGGACTACTGTCCACAGGCTGGCCTGGGAGAGCCCCTAGACCCTGTGCTGGCCGTAGCTGCCCCCGGATCTCATCGTTTCTTCTGCTATTCCTAACTTCACAAGCTTATTTTGACAGTAAGTGCAGAACGAGGAGAGGGGCTAAACATTACGTCAGCTGGGGCAAGAGGCTAAGTGAGGAACAGGAGTTGTAACTGCAGGTAAGTCAGAAGCCTTTACAAGTAATTTTAAATTGCAGTCCGTTTTAGAAATGAAGTCCAGGGTCTGGAGGCAAGTGGTTACAGTGCCAAGGTGAGAGACTGGCTGATAGCTTGTTTTGGTTGAACTGAGTGAAGAAGTTCAAAACATTGCGACATTGCAGTAGATTAAAACCAGCCATCAGAGAGTGAAGCCTACATTTCATTTACTCTTACTGCTCATCTTGTATAATTAAAAAGCACAGAACATCATGCAGAAGTTGTAAATATTCAGAAAACAATCTAATCCACAGCAGTATATAACCCAGACTTTAAATGAAATATTAGCAACAATACTTACATGAATGCACAATTAGTTGAGATTTATGGTCAATCTTATGAAAAAAAATGGATTACTTGCAAAATGCACTGCGTTATTTAAGAAAAGCACATTCAGTTGATTAAGCAGTGCTTTGAGATCTGCATTTATTTTTCATCTGATGAAACAGGTTCAGAGAAATGTTCGTGAAAACCAGTAAAAGGACCACTGAAGGGCACTGACTGTTCATCTACTCCTTTCTAATGTATGTGTTGCTGTTGTGTCTCCTCTCAGTGTACCAAATCCACAGCAAGAACGTCTTGTCCACATCCTCTGCAATGCCTTCACATTTCACTGGAACATTCTCCTCCCACTGTACCCAGACCCAGGGTATGTTTTTAAGGTTCTTGCCAGTTTTAGGATCAAATGTCTGGGTTCTGTAATTTCCAGCTACTTGTGTAAGAGGAGTCAGGTGTGCCTGTCACCCACTGCCCACTTTGTCTGCTTTAGAGAACAGGCAAGCAACAGTCTCTTCAACTAGGAAGCAACAGCCTCTTCAGGCTTTTTTTAAAGCTATCTTTTATGATAGATGTATTCAGCTGCTGTATATTAGCAAAGTATGGAAATTAAAAGCTTTCAAAACATTAACGACATAACACATCTTAATGTTGCTTGTCTGAGAAGACAGCAATTTACTGTTGAAACAAGACTAGCAATGAGGTTCTGAATCCATGCTTGAGTCTTTCATGTCCTTCTCGAAACGAAATTTCCTCCCTGATCAGTCCCAAGACTCTGCTTGTAGCTATTAACTACTGCTTCCTAAAAACTTTTAATCAGAAATTTAGAAGCCCCAAAAAACTCAAAACATCTGGAAAACAGTTCTTGTAATGCAAAAATCATAAGATTTTTATGAAATTACTAGGATTTACATCTTATTTTCTAGATTTACAATTGTGACGTAATATTTATTTTCAATACTTTATAAGTGAACAAAATTGGAATTACAGTTTACATATCTATCACAGGCTCTGAGCACACAAACAGTTTATCGAATGGTACTTCCAGCTGGGCTCGAGTCCCTCCTGAACTGGCCTCTAGCATCCTCCTTCAGAAGTTAACTCTGGAGGGGTTTTGTTGGATGTTTCCTAGATGCCCCTTCCACACAGCACTTGACGCAGAGCTCTCCTCTCGGCTGGCTTTGGCTGTTCCCTACTAACAGTTTTTTCCTGTCCCCCCTGCAGCACACACAAAGGAGCAGGCGCTGCTGCGGAGCCAGGCTGCGTGCCCTGCAGGGAGAGCAATGCGGGAAGAGCAGCTCTCCAACAGCACTGCCGGCTGCTGGGACCACACAGAGCGTGGAGAGATGCTCCCCATGGAGAGACTTCAATTATTTATCGTAAGGGTGTAACACTCTTTACGCTGCAAAGTAAATTGCATTAGTGCACTTTAGAGACACATCATGTACAGCACAATGTTCTGTTTATCCCTTTTCAGGGTGCAAAGTATGGCATAACCTGTGCTACGTATGGCAAGTATCTTCATCCCTCTCATCAGAGTTCTGCATTTACCACAGAAAGTATATTAAAGCACAGACAATGATCTGTACATTTATATTGGGAACAAAGTAAAATTAAGAGTGATTCTACTGCACCCAACTTTGGGGTGTAATTGCAGCAGATTTTTGTATTTCACATACATGTATGTGTTTCTTCGTACACCAGACTGAAATTTAATGACCCAACTGAAATTGTTCAATTTCAGATCTCCAGTGATTCTGCCTTTATTATCTTTTCAATTTGTAAACTAAATAGATTATTTTCAGAATTCTGTAAATCTTCACTCCAAACTGTATGGCAAAGACAGCATCAGTTCCGCTCTCCTCCACAGTAACTAACTCCAAATCACTTCACGTATGTTCTGGCTGAAGTTCCTGTTTCCATGAACCGACGCTTGCAACAAAGTTCAATAAATGTCTACACCCAATCTGAAGAAATACTGTAAGTGACGTAATGTTTTGCACAAAAAGGGACTCTGAATGGCTAACAAGTGGATGTGTCGCTGTAATTCCTCGTAAGAGACAAGGAGCAGTTGCTCAAGTGAAGAGCAGCAGCTGACTGACGTGCCTGCAGGGAAGCGGGAATTCGCTACTGATGAGGCTTACGCTGTATTCCTCAGCGCACGGACAGCAGATACCTGACGCAGTCCGACACAGGCAAGCTTGGGTACCAGAAGCATTCTCCTTACAGCACCCTGGAGCCCCACGCGGGAAGCAGAGCAGGGTAAATAACCGGCAACCTCTGCTCGATGCCAGCGAGGCTGCCGGTAGCCAGGGCAGTGCACGGAGAACTAACCCAGCTTCTCTGCGCCCTCTCCCAGTGCGTCGGGGAGACGTACCATTATTTGACTTCCAGTTTTTTTTCTTGAGAACAACTTTATATAGACTGAACAAATATTAACCCCATGCACCAGCACAGGCTTGGGGTGGACCTGCTGGAGAGCAGCTCTGCGGAGAGGGACCTGGGAGTGCTGGTGGACGACAGGTTGACCATGAGCCAGCAGTGTGCCCTGGCTGCCAAGAAGGCCAATGGGATCCTGGGGTGCATCAAGAGGAGTGTGGCTAGCAGGTCGAGGGAGGTTCTCCTTCCCCTCTACCCTGCCCTGGTGAGGCCACATATGGAGTACTCTGTCCAGTTCTGGGCTCCCCAGTTCAAAAAAGATGAGGAGCTACTGGAGAGAGTCCAGCGGAGGGCTACGAGGGTGGGGAG